TGGCAGTTGCTGAATGATTTAGTTCAGAATAGTTAAGAGGTTAGAATGGCTAAGAGGATCAGAATGGTTAAATGCTGAATGAAACAAAGTTGTTTGGTAATTGTTCTCTGAATGACAACAAATTACCATTTTAACCCTCAAGAAATACAATCAATTCTAAACGGATATATCGAAAAGATGTTGTTCTTCATATCAGTATCAAATCCTCAAGAAATTGCAAAATGTCGGTAATCCAATCATCATTAACATTGTTACAAACATGAAATTAGCAATAAACACCATCAATTTCCAAAGAAAAATGCGAAATACTCTAAACCAAACCCTAGACAGGAGACGAGATGCAAACCCTAGACAGGAGACGACGCAGCCGTAAGGAGGCTGTGGAAGGCGACCGGAGACGGCAACGTGAGGCGGCGACGAGAGGCGGCGACGAGATGCAAACCCTAGACAGGAGAGGACGCAACAGTAAGGAGGCTGTGGAAGGCGACCGGAGACGGCGACGTGAGGCGGCGACGAGAGGCAACGACAATAGGCGGCGGCGAGGCGGCGGCGACGAGGCGACGGCGACGAGGCGGCAGCGATCGTAGGTCTGGAGGAGAGGCTGTGAGCGATGTGTGAGGATGATGGGAGAGAGGGCAAATATGGAAAAAGAGAACTCTGAATGGTTGAGAGACCCCTTAGATGCAAAATGGTTAAGAGGGAAAATGTAACCATTCAGAGCCATTTTTTTTTGCCAAACACTCCTCACCTCTTAGCGATTAAGAGGTTGGCTCTTAATGTCACCATTAAGAGCCAAACAAACAGCCCCTTATTAATAGTTCTATTAAGAGGCAGTCTTTGAATCGTTAACAGTTGAATTTTGTTTGTCAAAAAAAATGTCTCTTAATGGTTTTAAAACCTTCTGAATTATTTTATATAATAGGTCTCCCTTAACCATTCGACGTCCTAATTTCATTGTAAACAATTATCAAACGATTATATTTTATTTTGCACTATATATGAGAGTCTTTTAATCATTCTGCACCAAACCATTCAACAAATGTTAAAACCAAACAACCCCAAAGGTTATTAATTAAATAAGTTATGAACAAATGCATATAAAGTTACGTACGGGTGGTCAACTAAATCATGCATACTATTAAATTTATAAAATATAAGCTCATATTCATCAATTATCAATCTTTTCCAACTTATTGAAAAAAATTAAGGATTGTTTCGTTTACCTTTTAATAGTTTTATTTAAAGGCAGCTAATTTTATCTGACAAAAAAAGTTTGTTTCTTAATGGTTCTAAAACATTCTCAATGATTTTGTATCTTGGACCTCCCTTGACTTTTCATCGACCTAATTAATTGATAGACCCATAACATATAATTTAGTTTTTAAATAGCTATTTCAAATAACGTTTCAATAAATCCAAATGTTTTTTTCAAGCCATGAATTATTAAACATTTTTTATATCATTTTTACATTATTATCTAGTGTTTACCATAATGACTAGTTTAACAACCAAGGTGCCGTTTACCAAACGCTTACTTGGGTAAGCGCTTATTTACCGGATAAATATGCTAAGGGCTAATAATCTTACCTAGTAAGAGCAAAGGCAAGAATCAAGAGTCTTACCCAGTAAGTAAGTACGAGAACTCTTACCATGGTTAGCGCTTACCAGGATAAATTGTTGCATACGAGACGTTTTAGTGAATAAAGTTTTACCCTATAAGTAAGCGATAGTGTTGAATTTTACCAGTAAATGCTTACCAGGTTTAGGTAAACGAACCGTAACTTTCAATTCCCAACAACCTTATAGTTTATAGAAATAGTGTAAAACAAAAGATGGGTTTGTGAATATGGTAATTTTGGCATTTGAGGCCCGTTGCTTATCGGGTCATTTACTTTACCAGATACATATGGTAAGAGGCAAAAATCTTACCCGGTAAGAGCAATGATAATGATGGATAATCTTATCTAGTAAAATCTTACAGATACGGTTTTTATGAACTAAAAATCTTATTCAATAAAATAAGTTAAATTGTTCTGCTATGTCCAAAGGAACAACTGTGAGAAGGTCCACAAGTAGAATGGCATAATGAGACTGATACATGTACAGAAAAGGAGGGTGCAGTAAAGACAGATGAAAGGAGTATTATTATGGTTAGGACCACCTTCCCATTTTAAGACTCCATCTTCATCCTACACCCCCTCTAAAAAGGCTTCCATTCCCATCACTTAATACTCGATACATACACGGGAAATTTACATAAATAGCCACAACTATATAGTTGGTTTCACTTTTTAACCATTTTCTGATCCAAATTCACTTTTTAGTCGATCTTTATGCAGAAAAATCAATTTCCCTAGTCCTTATAATGTGAAACAAAGCCAAGCCTTTTCTGCCTTCCATCCTGCGTTTCCCTGCTTGAGACTTTTTTTTGCCGAAAATCAATCTTTACGCATATGCGTAAGCCTTCTGCATAAGAATTGGCTAAAAAGTGAAAGTGGGTTCGAAAATGGCTACAAAGTTAAACTCTATTTGTTGATCGGTTATTTCTGTCAATTTCATTTCAATACACCCCTCTACTTTTATTTTAATCATACTTCAAATGTAATAAAGACCAATTCAAATTTCATTTTTACCATTATGTAAAAAGGTCGTTTTTTAACCAGTAATCTTGAGCCGACCCACACCGCCCTCAATAACATCATGTGAGCTACTCAGGTGCATAGTAATCCATTAAGTGGTTAGCTTAAGAGTCCATTGCCCACAAAGAACCCAATCATCAAAGGAATTGTTACTCCGAATCTTAATCTACAACACACGGTACCTCTAATGCATCTAGTTATTGAGGGTATGTTAGTTATGCATGACAGGACACAGACATAACAAAATAAAAATATATTAACACGACTAAGGAGCTGTTCGGTTCGTTTTCCACTAAGTCTTGTATAGAAATAGTTATTTGTAGTGATAAAGCAGTTTGTATGAAAACCGATAAGTTGTTCGGTTGCTATGCTGAATAAACAGTCTGAATGGTGAAAACTGCTATTTTACCCTTTGTTTTACATTGAAGGAAAAAAAACAAATTCGTATGATGATCAGAGCAGCGATAAATCAAAATAAACCCACAATCAACAACAATTTAGTAAAAATTCGTCCCATAAAGCATATAATACAAACCTAAATCATAAACTGAATTCGAACCATAAATCAGAAACTCACATCAAACCCACAATCATGAGAAAAAAACAAGAAAAATGAAGAACCCTAGATAAAAAAACTTACATCAAGCAAGAAAGGTGAAGAACCTTAAATCAGATCTTTGTTGCCTTTTGTTGTTAATGGCTTTGAGCAGTGAGAGAACAGATCGGTGGGGAGTAGGGGGAGAACGAGAGAAAACGATGGAGAAGCAGGTGGAAAAACGTCGGTCGAACACCCCTCAGCTAAACTCGAAGATTTTGGAAGAAATCGAGCTGTCGATTTTGCAATAGTAGAAAATAAGAAATCGAGATTGTAGGGGAATACATCGGGACGGACGTTGAGGAATACGTCGGTCGGAGGTTGAGGAATACGCCAGCGGCCAATTGCCGGCCGAAGGCTATAGTTGATGGTTGAATACGTCGGTCGAAGGCAAGTTGCCGTGAAGTGGCGGGAGTGGGAGACTGAGGGAGCGGCAAAGTGAAGGGTAAATCAAGGGTAATTGAGAAAATATTGATAGATGAGGCCATAGGAGTGGTATTTTTGAGCTGAGCGAATAAGCCCCAACCAAACAGCCTTTTATAGCTGAGCGAATAAGCTATAAGGCTTATACAGCCAATTAAGCCACAAACGAACAGCCCCCAAGTGAAACAAAAATGCTATTTTTTTTGTACCACCAAAATAAGTAGAAGAAAAATAAGGAGATATGACAATATTGATAAATTATTAAACTCCATGTATCAAATTATGGCAATACAAAAAGGGAAAACCTTAAAGCATATATCCCCATCCAAGCATGAAACCGATTAGAGAGCTAAAACAAGGGAACTCTAAACTACGGCAACACAAAAGGGAAAAATTGATTGATGGAAGTTCAAGCAAACACAAGTTCGCAGACAGGTCGGTTCAAAGGATCGTCTTTAAGTCTTGAGGAACAGGGAAAATAGTTAGTTTACCACGATAAGGAAAAGTGACCTAGAAGCCAAACCAATGACCCGGTATATCCTACCCGGAGAAGGGGTCCTGGGGGATAAGTTGTACGCAGACGTGACATCTACTCTAAACATGGAAAGTGTGATATGAGTAAGCAATAGCAATACAAATAGGAATATATATATATATATAGAGAGAGAGAGAGAAAGAGAGAGAGAGAGAGAGAGAGAGAGAAAAAATTTGCTAAATCAGCATCATGCTGTCAATAAAATCAACCAATTCATGAAAATTTGCTGATAGTAAGATGTAGGAAAGCTGGTACATAATTATTATTGACAAAAAAAAAAAAGCAAGTGACCAGGAATCAGCATTCATCCAACAAATGCAACCATCAAGGAGGGGAAGAACCATCGAGGACGGAAGACTGGGTGACGTAGTTATATGTGAGAGCAGGGAGCGTTTGTTATGAGAAGGGTAGGGATGCAAAGTTAATGGCTGGCCTGATAAAGCTTCCCTCATTCTGCTGAGCGAATAAGCTCTCAACTAAATCAACAAGTCACAGATAAACATCAGGGTATAGCTTAAGGAATAAGTCATAACGATTATTAAGCCCATTAAGTCTCTTCTAAACAGGGCCTTAGTATCTAAAATCAGCAAGTACACGAACCTTGATCACTAGTACATAATCGTTGTAGGCCAATTATCACAAACCTTTTCACATAGAATATTAACAACAGATACATGAATGTAAGTATGCATGCATGTATGTATGTATGTATAAAACAAGGGAAAGATGTGCATGAAACTTCCAGTGGCAGAGGGGTTTGTGCTTGGGTAGGGTGGAACAGCAAATGCATATAGCATAAGCACAGAGGTTAGGGCCAAACATGTAAAGTATTGAATAAAATTGATATCAATTCCATCATTCGATTATTTCATAATTGTAAGCCTCTGAATTCTTGGTTAAAACAGTGCATCATACATATCTTCATGGTACTTTCAAGCATCAGAAAGACTATAAGCAAAAGGACGAACATAATAAACAAAACTGACTAGATATCTATACACTAGACGGGACAAAAAGGATCAGGTTTCCATCAGATAGCAGAACAAGCTGGAATCTGAGTTGTGCACCAGCAACTAATCACCGAAGCCTTTGTTGATCCGAACGATTCATATAGGTGTCTTCAATGTATCTAGTCACCAACGAAATACCATGATGTGAGGCACTTGATGCAGCATAATACGATGTCACACTGAGTTGAGTGAAGTTTGGGAGCCCATATCCTGTAGTTCCAAAAATATCAGCTAACTTCATCATACATCTTACTGTTGTCTAGCTCGAAAACATCAAAATCAAGTACTGGTGGGACCATGCCAATTGCCATAACACATTAGTAATACAGTCATTCATGATTCAGGGTTAGGTTCCGGTGAGAGAAGGGGAGTTAAGGTGAGAAGCGTAAGAAGGGATCTCCATCCTTGGATGCACATTAGGATGAGATGCACCGGATCAATCCCCGTATCAAGCACGATTCATGGGTGGATTTGAGATTAAAGGTGATCAAGTGTCCAGATTCCTTACGCTTCCCACCTCAACTTTCCTTCTCACACGATCCTTTGCCTCATGATTTATATATATAGGGGCCTAATCAAATGAGAACTCGGTAGTTTGTGATAACCGTGAGATTCAGTGTGACCCGATCATTTTAGTTAATTTAGTTTATTTCTTTAATTAATAATAGAGGGATATTTTAGTAATTTAATAATTTGACAAATCATAAATCTCATCTCTATCTCTTTCCACATCTCAGGCCTCCTAAAATCTCTCTATTTTATCTCAGCCCTCATCAACCCTAAAACAAATCTCTTCCTCAATCTCACCAGCAGCCAAGATCCTCCGACCACGACAATGGCAAACAAACCAAAATCAAACTTCCCCATCTAAATCAAAACCCATATCGATGGTTGAAGCAAAACAACAAAACCGAGATCGATGGTTGGAGCAAAACATAGCTCTATGACTATGAGTGAGGCAAAGAGGCATCGAAAAGGATAGAGAAGATGAGTATGTGTGTTTGAGTGATAGAAATCAAAAACAGTCAACGAAGATGGAAATGTGGGTTTTTATTTGTTTTGAGCAAGGTCAAGAAGACCTCTTTGCGGTGGTGGTGGAGACAAAAGATGGAGATGGCCAGAGACAGAAGTATAGAGAACAAATGAGAAGAAGATGGAGATGGTTGCTATGCAGTTAATAGCACGCTATAGCGCCGCTAATTATCCTGGTTAAAATAGCGGTGTATTTTAGCGGTACCGCAAATAGCGGCCGCTATTGACCGCAATTTTGATACCAAATAGCGATCGTTATTACCGATTTTTCTTTTGGCCTCTTCTGGGCTCCTTTTTTTAAATTAAAATTCTATTCGGGCTTTTGTTATGTCATTTATGTGGGCTATTTAGTGTCAAACTTAAGACTGCAAACAAAAAGGAAATCGACTTAAATCAACAATAGAAACAATTAGGTCAAACTTTGGTATCGATTCCAACTCCAAAGCTTTCCTCATCGGCTCCAAGTCCAAAAAGCTTCAACAGCTCGAGTTTTCTTCTTGATTCCTAGGTTCCACGGGTTTTCTTCTCATCTCGACAACACAACTCCTATTACTATGTTGCTTGTGTGGTTTAAATTGTTTGACTTGATATGTAGTAGACATACAATATTTTAAGTTTTATGTATATTCGTATTTATTTTATGAACATAATTTTCTACCGCTATTTTAAATCAAGGTCCCGTCCGCAATTTCCGCAATGAATAGCATTAACTGCATAGGATGGTTGTCAACTTCCCATGGGATTTTTTTTATTTTTATTTTGCAAGTTTCCAATCATGTTCTTTTGCCATAAAAGGATTATTGGCCATAAAGGTTTCCAATCTTGTTCTTCTACCAAGATAGGATATTTTCGATTTGCAGGTTTCCAATTGATGTGTGTGTTGACCGGAAAACCCAGATCAAATCTGGTCTCAACCCTGGTACCACAACGGGTATCACACTGGGTATGTGTGGTCTAAAAACCCATATCAAATATGGTCCCAATCCATATAAAAGGGTATCACAGTGGGTTTGTGTCATGCTGTTTAGAAGTTCTTAGGTATCACAGTGGGTTTGTGTCTTACTGTTTAGAAGTTCTTGGGTATCACAGTGGGTTTATGTCTTACTGTTTAGAAGATCTCGGGTATTATAGTGGGTATCGTACTTGGTTTGTGTCGTACTGTTTACTTGTTTAGAAGTTCTTGGCTATCACAGTGGGTATCATAGTGGTGTAGGCCGGAATTAATTTGGCTGGAGTAAGGATCCCCGGAGAGTGGGGAGAGAGGAGAAAGGAGAGAGATTTACAAAAAGACGAATTTACCCCTAAATATTATCCATAAACTTAAATTTTTTGAGAATTAATGGATAATTACAAAATAAATGTTATTAATATTAACTATAAATTATCACAAACTACTGAGTTCTCCCTTGAATGACCCCCTATATATCATTAGGATCGCGTAGGAAATCAAAATTTGGTGGGAATGGTAGAAACGTTATAAAAAAATGTTAATAGATATTAGCATGGAAATGTTAACATAAGTTAACATGAAAATGTTAAACATAAGTTAACTTATTTGAACCTCCACTAACAAAATACTTCCTACGCTTCCTATGAAATCTTGATTTCCTACCGGAACTCAACCCTATATATATATAATATATATATTGAGAACCAACTTATAATAATATTACACCCTTTCATTCCATATTTGCATAAATTCTCTTTTTTAATCAAGTTTATTTGTTATACGCTTGAACTCTTTACACCATCGGTGAAGAGATCAAGACACCAACAACAAGAGGATGACGTCCGAAAAGCATTTTCAGTAACTTGTACAGATAATCCACATCCATAAAACAAACCCTTAATAAAAAACCATGCATGTCTCAACATGAAGGATTTACTACTGTCCAAAGTCCAAACATTGAGCTATACATAAACCAATTCTTATCTAATTGCTACAACCAAAGAGTGGAGGGAGCTATATAATGTAAGAGAACAATAAGTCCGTATTAGCAGTTACATGCTTTTTACACCATTTTTATTTACAGAAAGAAAATTACTAGACATGTAAAAATAGTTCAAAAAGAATTGTGAAAGATCTGCAAATCATTTCACTGGTACTAGTAAAAGAAGCATGTCAGACAAATTGAGGTTCTCATTATGTGCATGATGCACAAACATAAAGAAAAATTATGACCCCGGAAGAAATAAGATAAGCAAAATACATCATGCTGCCAGACAAAGAAACAAGAGGAAGAACCTCTTTGAAGCTTCACAGACGAAAAAGAAAACTGATCAAGCAAAACATCGACCTAATGACCAAGGCAGGCTAAATTCAAGGGGAATATAATATAAATGCTATAAACAGGCTTGTTGATGCATACAAAGAAACCAACCCATGGATATTGGGAAGATAATAAAAGAAAGTTTATATGGCATCACATCAAAGAAACATTGGGATATCTTGAGCTTCGCACCAAAATAACCCAATGAATCTCACCTAATTTTATTGCTTCATAAAGTGAATGAGAAAACTCTAGATACTTTTATCCGGTCATCTAAGCAATTATTTTAGGGAAGTACAAATATATATAATAATATGAGTATTGACGTTTATTATCATAACTATAGAGATAGATGCTTATGCAACCATTTGTCCATTAAAACTATTGAATTATCTTAAAGGTGACATAAATGAAGGAAAAAGATCGATATTAACATGAACCTAATAATCACACATATCCTAATATGCATCATAACTGATTGACGTAAGGTTTCCAATACTATGTAGTTTTACATTTTCAAAATAATCTGCTCTTTTCTTTTATCAAGGACCACCATTTGCCACCTGTTAGATTGGTATTGGTTTCTTTTACTTTCTGTTAGGGCAAGTATCTCAGTGTCTGGGTATATACCACACAATGATGATGTCAAAAAGCATTACCTAATTTTACAATTGAATATGATACTCCTGATTCAGAGTTGTTCTCTGGAGTCTTCTTAGCTATTTTTGTTAATAGTTATTGATGGTATCAAAGCACACCGTCACTTTACCTGTGTAGTATATAGTAAGAGTAACAAACTCCCAATTAATAGAGAAGTATGAAGAATTAAGCCAAAAGATCGAGAGCATGATGAGATTCTGAAGCATATGCAGGTATCTCCTATTAGTCGGAAGCAGTTAAACTCCTAATATCAACTCAGAAGCAGAAGCTAAACCAGGAATCAGGAGCTGATAAAATCGGAACCCAGGAGAGTGGAAACAGGTGACGATTTCACACCACCACCTGTGAAGCAAGAGTATCAGCTCGTGAATCGAATGACAAAGCTAGAATTTCCCCTATTCGACATGCTTTCAAGGAATGGCACTATAAGTGCAATCAATTTTTCGAGCTGGATAACACACCTGAGAATATGAAGATCTGTCTGGCAGCAATTCATTTGAAGGGAAGAGCATTGCAATGGCACCAAGGATTTATGAAGAATATGGAGGGAAAGGCTGTCAGTTGGAATAGTTGGAGGAACTCAGGGAGCAATTCATTAGAGGGATCGTTTCTAAGCATCTTATCGAACTCAGAAACCTCAAGCTTACCACCACTATAAGTGATTACAACTCCAATTTAATGCTCTTAAAAATCAAGTGGATATTTCTTCTGAGGTAGTGTTGGATTTATATGTTGGGGGTCTCTCTAATGACATAATGCACAATATGCAACTCATGGACCCAAAATCCTTAAATCAGGTTATGAAATTAGCTAAAATTCAAGAAGGGGCGTATTATGCTATGTGGCATTTAGAACCACCAAAAACCCCTTTTCCAACCAATGAAGCAACAAGTCAACGAGATCCAATTCAGACCAGACTGCATCAACGAAGCAGTCTCATTCCCCTGCCCTTTCATCCCTTGCGGCCCCTAAATTTTTACCGTTGATGCCTTCGAATTTATCGAATTACTCCAGATCAACCTACCGAAACCACCCGTAAACCGATTTCCACAAAAATCAATTGTCATACCACCTCCTAATACTTCCCATAATTCTCAAAATAAACCCACCCCTTTCAAACAACTAACCAAGAAAGAATATGAAAAAAAGAGGAAAAAACCAGTGTTTCTTTTGTAATATAAATGTAGAAATAGCAAGTTACACATGCTGCGGAAATCCAGGAAGAAGGGTTGGAAGGTGCGGAGATTATAGAAGGGGGGTGTCATTGGTGATTATTCGGAAGGTTTGGAGATGTTTCACTTTTGATTCACACTTTACTGAGATCCTTTGGTCTTCGAACTATAAAATCTGCGGGTTAGTGAAGAAACAACTTGTTATGATGTTAATTGATAGCGGTAGCACCTTTATCGATTTGGGGTTACCAAAAAGACTGGGATTGAGATTAACTCCTATCAAGATAGGGGAAGTAATATTTAAAGGAGTAATTTATATGTAAAGGAGTAATATGGTATGTGCAAGGGACAAGCTTCTACTTCATGGATTAAATGGCTCTCATTAGCTCAGTACTGGTATAACACCTCATGTCACTCAAGTCTGAGAATGTCTCCATACAAGGCTCTGAGGCTCTGTTTGGGCAAAAACCTCCAAACTACATTCACTATCACCCTAAGATTCAAGCAATCAACGATAGACACAGAGCTCAGAGGAAGGGAGAAGCACATTTGATTACTTAAAGATAATCTGACCAAACCACAACAACGAGTGAAGGGTTCAGGCTGACAAGCATCGAACTGAAAAAGTGTTTGCGGTGGGGGACTGGGTCTGAAGTGGCAACCTTATAGACAATATTCAGTAAATAAAAGAGCGTTTCACAAGCTGGCTGCCAAGTAATATGGACCATGTGAAGTGGTACAGAAGGTGGGTGAAGTACCTTATAAATTGGCATTGCCAGTGGACTCCAAAATTCACAATGGTGTTCCATGTTTTGTTGTTAAAGAAGAAAATAGGAACCCACTCTGTTTTAAGCACTCTACCCCCTGTTACTGAAAAAGGAGAATTGGCCCCTCTGCCTTTGAAGGTTGTTGATAAGAGAATGGTAAGGAAGAAAACAGAGTAGCTTCAGAAGTGTTGGTCCACTAGAGTAACTCAGAATCAGAGGACAACACCTGTGAAGACTTTGTTGAGCTGTAGAAGCGATTTCTAGACTTTGACATTTGGGCTCACTACCATCCTTGAGGTCAAGGATATTTTGATGGGGAGAGTATTAATACTATGTCGTTTTACATTTTCAAAATAATCAGTTCTTTTCTTCTATCAGGGACCACCATTTGCCACCTGTTAGATTGGTATTTGTTTCCTTTACTTTCTATTAGGGCAAGTATCTCACTGTCTGGGATATATACCACACAGTGGTGATGTAAGAACGCACTACCTCATTCTATAATCTTTAATATAATACTCCTGAATCAGAGTTGTTCTCTGGATTCTTCCTAGCTATCTTTTGTTAATAGCTATCAGTTTCTCGTTATTGTATCTCTCCTTCAAGGCAGAAGAGGACATACAATAGGATGCTGGCGATAGCTAACTTTCCTAAATTACATATTCTTTATTTAACTAAAATATATAATGACAGAAATAACCTTATCTAACACTAACATAGTTCTGTTTCATCCTACTTGTACTATCCTCATCGCTCTCCATCCATTCAAGAAAAAATCAAACTTGAATTTCGAAGTATTGGAGAACTAGAAAAATGGGCATTGCAACAGTCTTCTAGCTACGTATATTTGACTTTGCATCTTCAAAGAGTTTATTACATCTGGCACGGATATCATTCCTAATTCTAATACTGTCCATCTCCAATGTGTTTCTACCCATCCACCACAGCATTAACACTTTTTGTACATGAACATGGAATATAACACATTATCTCTTGGCGAACAATTTAAGTCAAACCCACAAGACATAGGCGTGCAGATACACTAGAAAAAACACAAAAAGGAAAGAAATATCATCGTAGTTAAATCACAGACATATTACTCAAATGCTGATTGCATACCTCCCAACGCAGCGCTGGCAGCAGAAAACATTAGCAATGGGGGAATCTGCCAAAATAAAAGATTCACGAGAGTGATAAGGTAAATTTGAGTCATTAGTGATAAGGCACTTCCATAAAAAAAATGAAGTAAAACAATAATGGTAGATAGCAGTAGTAGAAGTACCCCTATAACGAATGGAAGCCACTTTGGTCCTTTGACATGTTTCTGAAGATATGGCATTCCTGCAATGAATTTGTGTTATGGTCTATATAAACTTAACTACCCCCCCCCCCCAAAACCAAATGGTTCAATGTAAAAATATACCTGTGTTCAGACCATAAAAGGCACTAAGCATTCCACCTAAACCGCAGCCAGCCTAATAAAATCAGAAGAATGAAATTAGTTATTTGCACAAAGTGCATATGATGCTACAATGCTATACATACAAGCTATCTCTTGGACAGAAACAAGACCTTTTGGGATCTGATTGATATGGATGGAAACAGACTGGAGGCATGAGGATAAGAGATTAAACTACAAAAAGACAACTATAAACTGGAATTCTCATCTACATGAAGAGAGTACTATCTGGCAATCTGATGTGACAATGACTGTCACTGACACTGGGGAGGTAAACTCTTCTATACAAGTCATGGCAAGCAGATGCGTTAGAAACCATGGGTAGCACATTTGTAGAATGGAGATTCGATTGCTTTAAGAGATTATAATGAGTTGATGACTAATGAGAAGCTTTTGTTTTAACTCAAACATATAGTAACTAGACATGTAGCTCGTTTTATTATAGAGGTTTAGCTAAAAGTAACTACTGCAATTTAATTAAGAGTAAATGAATATATGGCTACATTTGGGTTCATGACTGTTGAGCAATACAAGGCTAGAAATATAGCCCATCCAGTGAATTTCTSTTGCTTTTTAAACAAACTTACTCAGACCCCCCAGCATTTCTTTACATCTTTTGGGGACTCCCCCAACACAAATCAGTTGGAAAAAAGAACAAATTGAGTTAAATCCAACTCTGCATGTACAATATTAGCCTATGTTGCAAGCACATAGTACAAATTTCACCCTGTTGGGCCTCCTTTCTCCTCTGTCCACAAAGACAAAATGTATGAACGGGTGTGATACATAGATCTCAAAATCCATCATTTCTTACAAAATTGGGGATACATAGGTTGCCTTTATATATGAGAGTATATACAAGTCTAAAAGGGTGGTTCATACATTTATATAAGAGAGATATACGCTTATGAGTAAGTCTTATCATGCTATTGCTTTTATTGTTGATTCATATGTCTGTATTAGTCTAAACTATTGAGTAAGAAGAATTCTTTGGCTTGTCTTGCTTCCTTCTTTCTCCCTAGCATGCATATGTTGCAAGTTCTAGAATTTTAGACTTGTACTAACTTTATAGCTTTGCCAATTTGCATATCTCCGTTTTTTTAAAAACAACAAAATTTCTCCTTCCATATCCGAATCTGGTATCCCATACTCATGGTCAACAATTAGCAGTTACTATCAACACCACAACCCTGAAGCACCTGATATGAAGATTAACAAGGGTAAGAAGTGCCACTGATTCCTATAAATATAACTAACCTAAGAACTACTAAAATATAGTGGCAATATAACATTGAAACTGCCATCGGAATTAAGAGTATGGCAATTGTAAATTATGATTTCTTGATAATCCTATTGTGTGTAACGGTACCATGATCACATCTTTATGTTAAACCATGCTATACTTGACCAACGTTTCAGTGGTCATGACATTGATGGTCTGATCTATGTTTCCATTGACATTGTGTCATAGGCGTAAAACCCGATTCCAGAGTAGCATACTAGCCCAATAAGGCAATAACCTCCAACTCAACTACAACCATGGTTAAGGATCCTCATATTTGACACTCAGAACCCATGTGGGACACAAAAAGTCACCAGCTCCCTCACTTAGATTCACAATGTCCTCAACAGACCTACAGAGAAACCCAACTAGAATCCCAAAAATCATCCCAGAAAATGTACTAGTACTTCAACCCACTGCCTCTCAAGAAGACACCACTTTAATACGATGTTTAACACCGAAGCCTAGAATAGGAGACTGGCACGGTAACTTTCATATCAACTCCAAACCAATAAACCATGGCCGGAAGCATTAATAGTCCACTATCAATGATTTCTAAGGAGTCTAACATTTCATACTCAGGAATGATGTGGGATGGGACAAATTCCCTACTTCCATAGGTTCATGTAATCTGAGTCATTTGTCATTTACAATTGAATTCTTCCATGTAACATGTAGATTTGTTCAAAGTCCTGGTAAGATCCATCATTCCTATCAGTAGAAGTTTGTTAGGGTAATGCAAACTGCAACTCGACTTCCAAAAAACAACTTCCAGGCAGTCTACAAATCCTATAGATTGAATAAGGCAAGAGGGATGAAATAAAAACATCACATCTTAGATGTTTCATATAAACTTGATATGCAACACCAAAGCTAAATTCGGTATATGAAATCAAAGCTAAGTTTAACATCTACAAATCTGGTATGTGTTATCAAAGCCAAATTTAGGTCCACATCAACAACCAAAATTGCCCGGAACTTAATTTTGTGCTTGACAACCAATAAACCACTCTACTCTACCAACTTAAACTAACTCAATCTTCAATTTACTCACGCACACACATCTAAACTTGCAGGTGTGCATCATAAACCATATAGTGACCATACATATAGTAACACGATTCAACAACAATCATGACTTACATTACATATAGATTTAGAGAAAAGTTGTTAGTAGTATTACCACAGCGGTGGCGTCATGTAACACTGGTGTAATAGTCCATTCTCCTTTATCCTGATCAACGGAAACATGTATATAAACAATCAATCAGCTAAAATTCAAGCAAACCATCAAAGTAATGAATTGAAGACTAAGATCATAATCGCACCGAGTGTGAGTCTAGGAGAGAGAGACAACGAGGGCAGCGAGGAGTGCCGAGACCAGGTTTGATGGTGGGTTCGTGATACAGATTCCCCCTTCGCAGCTTCTCTTCATACACCTCTCGAGTCCCCATCTAAATCACACAGACGTTCAATTTCACGACGGAAGCCTACTATCGGAATAAGTGCTACTCCAAAATAATGACGGGTTCGGGTCAGTTTATGTGGGTTAGTTCCGGGCCAACTCTATAGACAACCGTGGCCCAAATTCTAATTCAATGGCTCCAAGCCTCCAATGACTTGGTCAAAGTTGTTTTATATATAGGTTTACTAGTGATTGAAAACAAAAGTAGTATGCCTTATGTTATATTTGTAATTTATATATATATATATATATATATATATATATATTAGAAGGGTACTCGTGTGATGCAACGAGATACATCTCGATTTTAATGTTTCGTTTTATTCTATCCCTGTTGATGTTATAATACGATTTTATTTTTATGTGGTTTTGAGAAAAACGATAATGTTTTTATTTTTGAATAAAATATAAATTTAAAGATATCTTAAAAATTCTAAAAAACATATCCATATTAATATCAAATTACCTATTTAAAATTTCTTGTTTTGTTGTGTAGTTTCTTTAATTTAACTTTTTTATTATAATTTAATTTAGGTTTAAGAAGAAAATAATTTATTTTTGGTTTAATAATATAATTTTTTATAAAGATAATAATTAAGTATTATATTAGAAGATAGTGATTATCCTAATTATTTTAGATTTTTTATATTTAAAATGAAATGTTTATCCAGTATTTGATTATGTTTATCTGTAGTTAGTTACACAAATTCAAGTATGAAGCTTTAATAATTTGTATTTATGCAAAATTTACTTCTAATCTTGAATTTTAAGTAATATGCATAATAAACAGTATTTCATGTATAAAAAATGATTTTTAAGAGTTTTTGTCAAATGTTTTATAATATAGTATAGATTTGCCATCTTATCTTACAGTATAATTAAAATTTGTAGGTGTAATAAGGCTTCTACAAAAATTAGAATGTCCATGGCAACTATCAAACGGTAACCCAAAACCTAGGTTGAGACTTAGGTTGGTATTACCTATGAATGACCATACTCTCAACCTAATGACCCAAATGGAGTACATGAGTATGCTTCAACAATTTCGGATATAATACATAAACCATCATCACTCAAATGTCAGACATATTGCTGCTCTAATTCAGATATCACATAACCCAATGAACAACAACTATATTGATTCACATGATAGCATTTTACACGCATTAAGCAAAGGACCGAACATAAGTTGTAAAACAATCCATTGTCACAATGAAACCCTAGGTTCTAGTAAGAGATGAACATATAAGCATATAATCAAGTAAAAGCAGGTCGTTTACACCTATAGAATTTCATCAAAATAATTGTTGATCCACAACATGCATAACCTTGGGTTTGCAATTTAAACTTCTAATGCAACATTACCTGCATCTTGATGATGGATGAGAGTGATGAATAGCAACAAAAAAACATACATTTAATTGATGAAGAATATAACAAATGTGGTCCTCGGAATCACCTTTGGATGATGAGTATTTGTGAGGAAACATCGATTGAAGTGAGTAAAATGATAGTGGTGGTCGGGTGCAGTGCCGGATTTAAAAACTCTTAATTCGTGAAACAGAGGCGTTCGTTAGTTTGGTCGCTAGTTAAACTAGCAAACAAACTAGCCTAAAAATGAAACACTTAAAATAATGGCATACGCTAGTTTGGACGCTAGTTTAAACTAGCGAATAAACTCACTCGAAAACTGAACTCACACCCAACAATGGCCAGCGCTAGTTTCCAAGTGGGTTGATAGTAGTGAATAACTAGTGACGGCATGAAGAGGTACAATCAAACAGATATGATCACTAGTTTTGTCGCTAGTTGGATAAAACTCGCTTGGAAACGACGAAACTAGAGACCACAGTTTTCAATAATTCTTCCAGAGGCCACCGCTAGTTTCAAAGCGAATTTCTCATGGATAAAACTAGCAACCAAAACTCACATGAGATCTTGAACCATAACTCAGTGATAGACGCTAGTTTTCAAGTGAGTTTAAGGGTCAACAAACTAGTGAGTAACAGAAACACAATTTACCCTCCCAGAGGCCACCTCTAGTTTTCCCATGGATTAAACTAGCAATGAAACTAGCCTAAAACCAAAAAAGTCCATACGAAGTCAGAGATCACCGTTGGTTCATGAATTTCTCAAGGACCAAATCAGCGACCAAAGCCGTTGTAATCTTTGTGGTTCTACCAACTTCAAATTCTCATTTGAGGTCAAAACACACTACAACATAAATATAAACTATATCTACCTAAAAAGATCAAAGTTACGAAAATTAAAAAACTAAAACTGGTAGGTTGCTTCCCACCCGTCGCCTTATTTAGAGTCGTGGCACGATGTTTTGCAGCGATCACTGGTTAGATTATGAGGGGAAGATGGTGTCTGCTACTACTGTTTCTCCTCTGAAATATAGCTTTACTCGTTGAATGTTTACTTTGAAAGTGTCTCAATCCTTATTGTGCAGCTCGATGGATCCATATAGAAAAACCTCCTTGACCGTGAATGGACCCGACCATTTGGATTTAAGTTTCCCTGGAAATAAACGCAATTATGAGTTAGCAGAACTTGCATACTAGAAAGAATTACCTTTTGGTGGAGACTTTTGTCATGGAACCTTTTCGTCCGTTTCTTGTAGATAGATGTGTTCTCATATGAATCCTGCTAGATCTCTTCCAGTTTATTCAGTTGTAAAAATATATGTTGCCCAACTTCATTAAAGTTTATGTTCAATTACTTGATTGCCCAATAGGCCTTGTGCTTTAGTTCAAGTAGAAGGTGACACGAATTACCAAAAACTAATCGGTATGGTGTTATGCCAATGAGTGTTTTGTAGGTCGTACGATAAGCCTATAGTGCATCATCAAGTCGTGATGCCCAATCTTTTTAAGATGAATTCACCTTTTTTTCCATAATGTGCTTTAACTCTCGTTTGAGACTCTAGCGAGACCATTCGCCTGTGGATGATATGGAGTTGTCACTCTATGTTTTACTGGTACTTCTTAAGGACATCTTCCAAGTATTTGTTGCAAAAATTGCTACCCCATCACTGATCAAAGCTTTCGGCACTCCGAACCTTGTGAAAATGTGTTTCCTTAAGAAGTTCACTACAACCTTGGAACCATTAATTGGAGTGGCAATCGCTTCCACCCACTTGGAAACATAGTCAACGGCTACAAGTATATATTCATTCCTTTGTGAAGCTAGGAACGGACCACGAAATCGGTCCCCCATACGTCAAACAATTCGACTTCCATGAAATTTTTCATGGGCATCTCATATCTCTTGGTGATGTTTCCAACTTTCTGACAGCGATCACATCAGGTTATTAACTCCCTCTATCTTTAAACATTGACTACTAGAAAAAAAAAATTGATTGTAACGTTTTGGCAACTGGTTTATCCATGCTGAAGTGACCCCCACAGTCTAGATTATGACAATGGTTGAGGATGTCGGTCTTTTCTTCATCTGGAATGCATCTTCTGATCAATTTGTTTGTGCAAAGTTTGTATAAGTATGGCTCGTCCCAAAAGTACCTTTTTGCATCTGAAAGGAACTTCTTTTTTCTGATGAGAATTCATACCATATGGTATCACTGCCCCCAGTACAAAATTCACTATATCAGCATATCAACACTCTGAATGACTGATCTTAAGCAATCATTCATCCGAAAATGCATCATTGATGATTGATTCATCAATAGAATGTTCTTTATCCCCCTCCAGATGTGAAAGGTGGTATGCCATTGTATTATCAAAGCCCTTTTTATCCAATATTTCTATATCAAACTCTTAAAGCAGTAATACCCACCGGATGAGCCTCGATTTCGCATCCTTCTTGGTCATCAAGTATTTTAAGGCTGAGTGATATGTGTAGACAATTACCTTGCCACCAACTAGATATGATTGTAACTTCTCACAGGCGTAGACTACTGCGAATAACTCCTTCTTAGTGGTTTTATAGTTGACTTGTGCCTCGTCTAATATCTTGTTGGCGTAGTAAATAACATGTAACCTTTTCTCTTTCCTTTACCCCAAAACAGCACCTACTGCAGTATCGCTTGCATCACACATAAATATGAATAGAAGACTCCAATCAGGTGCCACAAGGATCATGCTAAAATTAATTCCTTCTTCAACTTGTCGAAGGCAAAGATACAATCATTACTGAAAATTGAATTTGACATATTTAATTAATAAAGCACACAAGGATATAGTGATTTTTGAAAACCTTTATCCCTTCCTTTGAGACTTGGTAGGCAAACACCATTCATTCTATCACCATGAAGTGACACTTCTCCCAGTTTAAGACCAAGCTTGTTTCTTGACATCTTTGTAGAATGGCCTTCAAGTGTGCTAAACATGTGTCAAATTAAGATCCAAACATTGAATAGTCCTCCATAAAGATATATGTAGTACGTTCCACCATATCTGATAAGATTTCCATCATGCACCTCTGAAATGTTGATGGAGCATTACACAACCCAAATGGCATCCTCCGGTAAGTGAACGTACCATAAGGGTGTAACACCCCGAGATTTTCTTTCGTTCCATTACGAGGTATTTTTACATTTTCTCTTATTCTTGAATTTTATATATATATATATATATATTATATATATATATATATACGCATGTAGATATACTTATGCAGTTTTGATAACTGAAATGTGGCACTTTTAGTTGCGTATCTAGTCTAAATCTAAGGGAAATCATTTACATTTACATTCCTTTATTTTTAAGGCTTGAAGTTAATTGAAATAAGATAAAATAAGTAGGGGGGGGGTATTATCTGATGTTCTTTGACCTTAACCCCCACCAACCATTGTTTGTTTGACACCTCACTTAAGTTTAGAAGTCCTTATCCATTGTGTTGTCATGTAGGGAGTTGGTAAGGAAGCATGGCTAAAAACCCCACTTTCTCACTGCCGCCTCACAAAACCTCTGTCCAAGCTTCTCCCATGGGTTTCCTTTTGCACGTCACCTCCCTCACGATGCTACTGCTTACCGCATCTTGATTAGACCTCAACGCCGGACCATCTCGCCTCCTTAGCTGCTGTGTTTTGCTTCCAGCAGTGCGTCGTGTTGGCCGTGAGTTGACCGTCCGGCAGCTGTCCCTTCCGGCCTGCACAGGAGCGTTTAGTGCAGCAGCCACCCCCTTCTTCTTATACTTCTTCCCTGCGCCACCACCTGCTGCCGCTGCCTTCCTCCCTACACCACCGCTGTTTGCTGCGTCCCTCATCCCCATCGACAACAGCCGGCAGCCGAAGACAGCAGCTCAAACCGCTGCTGTGCTGCGTTCTTCGTCTTCTTCGTTGGCAGCCATTGTGAGTTCATCTTTACCCGATCACGTTTTATTACCCCTCAAAACACTATATGCTTGGATCTAATTTTTAACTTGACAAGGATACCTTTAATATAGATATTGTCATGAGATTATATTAGA